CCCCCGGACAGGAGCGCCGCCGCGCTTCCCAAGCGGCGCACTATCCAGTGCGCCACCGGGCCGGCCCCATAAGTAGCTGTTTTTAATCTTCATGAACTCCAATTTGCTAATATTTTATTTAATGCTTTTTTTTACATTGACAGTGCTATACTGCATTTATTGATATCATAAGTTTTTTAATTGAAAAAAATCTGTATATAAGTGGACCCATACAATTCAAACCTATGTTGTTCAAGGGTCAACTATACATTTATCTTAGGGTTGTTTTTGGCATCTATCCTTTTGCTCCTCAAAAAGGGTCTGAAGAACTCTTTATCTCCCCAGAGACATCCCTTTTTCAGCAAAAGAAATTAGGAAGATAGTCCCTAATACAGGATAGTCCTAAATGGCAGAACTGGAGAAGCCTTGGAAATCATATACAGGGATTTTTAAATCCAGTCAACCCAATGTTCCCTCTTTTTTTTTTTTTAATATATTGAAATTTAATTGATTGTACATGTCTGTCGGGAACCGTGTTGATTATCGATACCTATGTGCAATATATGGTGCTCAAATCAGGATAGTTAGTATATTCAACATTACACAATGTAACCACTTTTTGTGACCCCATCCTCTCCCCCGTTCCTGCCTCTGGTGGTCTCAGTTCTGTTCTCTCCTTCTGAAAGGTCAACAACTATTGTGATTGTCGTATCTTTCTTTCTTTCTTTCTTTTTTTACTTATTTCTTTGGGGCTTTTTTTTAGCTCCCATTTGTGAGTGAGGACATATGGTATTTCTCTTTCTGTGTCTGGCTTATTTCACTTAAAATAATTTTCTCAAAGTTCATCCATGTTTCTGTGAATGGCAGAATTTCATTCTTTTTTATGGCAGAGTAGTAGTCCATTGTGTGTATACACCACATTTTCCTCATTGAGTCATCCACCAATGGACATTTAGGTTAGCTCCAACTTTTTTGGCTATTGTAAATAGAGCTGCAATAAACACTGGAGTGCAGGTATCCCTTCAACATGATGATTTTTGCATCACATCTAAGAACTCTTTGCCTACATTGAGGTTATGAAGATATTCACCTATGTTTTCTTCAAGAAGTTTTTTAGTTTCAGCTTTCATTTTATGTCTATGATTCATCCTGGATTAACATTTGTGTATGACAAAAGGTCAAGGTCAAGTTTTTTTTAGATGTAATTCTTTTAAAGATTTCTCCCATTTGCATTGATTCTGTGTAATTGCTATTTGCTGTAATTGCCCAACTTGGTTTCCTTATTTCAGGTTGCTAAATTTCCTTATGTCAAGTTATTTCATTTTGCTTGCTCATTTTATGAAATATCTATGTTGATTGATATAATAATTACAGAGGGTCTCCTCACCCTGTAGGACAGGGCTTGCTTCCCTCCATGGGTTACAATTCCCCTTTCCTCCAGTAGCATAGTTGATGACTGCAGGAGTTCTCTGGTGGGCAACTACCCACATCAATAACCTAGTGACACTTGGAAACAAATTCTGTGGCCAGCACTCTGGGCTTTGGTGGAGTTTCCAAGTTTTACCACTCCAATATTGTACCTCCCACCTCTTGCCATAGTTTTTAAAAAGGTAAAACTGGAAATGCTTTCCTCTACCTTCTATTTGGTCAAGATTTTCTCCCCTGATCTTCACTTAACTGATGATTCACTTCTCTGGTTTCACTGCCCTGTGCTCATGAACCAGAGATCTGTGAGTTGGTTCCTAGAGCCTTCTTTCCATTTAGGACAATTACATATTATCTGATTTTTTCACATTGTTTATCGTGTAAGTTGGAGCCTCTCATAATTTTGACACAGATTCCTTTCCTATTATTGCTTTTCTTACTGCCAGAGAAAATTTATTTGACCAGAGAACTGCAGACTTGCCACTGTAATACTGATATAAATGAGCCTAGTCCGAACTTCTCTGACAACACAGACAATTCCATTATTCAACCAACAGGTATTTACTGAGTGTCTAGCACTGTGGCTCTTCATTGTGTCCCTTCCCTCTCTCTTTTATGGAGAGCATAAACAATAAAAAAAAAAATTATTGGGGATAAATGCTGGCTATTCCTGATTCTTCATTATTTCATTCTCAGCCCATATTGCCATGGTTTCCTCCCTAATGTAAGAAATACCTTAAAACTGATTTTAAGTGATCCACAAAAAACAATGATTTTGCTCTTGAGCCAAGAATAGGCTGAGTTTCAAAACAAAATCTGGAAGAAAGTCAAAGACTCCTATTCCCTTTACTTTTAGGAACAAAATACAATGAGTAGGACACACGTGAGAACTACAACTCAAGACACAATTATTTGAGTCAATTTACCTGTTCAATCTGTTTGTACCATATCATTAGCACTTCCTCCAACTGACGAACAGTTTCTGAATTGCTAGCTGCAACTGTCACTTCTTCAAAGGTCTGAAGTTTGGAAAAATCAACGTTGTCTATCGTCTTTAACTTCACTGTCCCCTCAATACTTATTCTAGCACCTAAAAGGGAAAAATAATACTAAGAAAAGAGGTGTTTAATGTCAATGTGTTAAATATCAGTATGTGCTTTCCATCTATAAATACCGAAATGTTAAATATCTAAGACTTTATAGAAATATAATTATAGGGCCGAGCCCGTGGCGCACTCAGGAGAGTGCAGCGCTGGGAGCGCAGCAGCGCTCCCGCCACGGGTTCGGATCCTATATAGGGATGACCGGTGCGCTCATAGCGCTCACTGGCTGAGCACGGTGCAGCTGGTCTCAAAAAGGACAAAAAAAAAAAAAAAAGAAATATAATTATAATTTATCATTAGACTATGACTTTATGATTTATTAATAAATTTTATATTTTAACAATATGAAATAATAACAATGTATTTTAAAGAGTTCATAATAAAGCATATATTTTTTAAATGTAGTGAATTTTTTATCAATGACATAGGAAGAGATTTCTCCTACTATAATGGAAAATAAGAAAAAACACATATTTCTCCTGCAAAGATTCCTGGAAATGATGGTTCTAAAGATTTTAAATCTTACCTCTTTGTCTCATAATTATTTTGACTAACATCTTTTTCTCTATGTTTATCTTTAATAGCATATTTAAGAGGTAATTTGCTTATTTTTAGTAATTTACTAAACATTAAATTTTATACTTACCATCTAAAAATGAAAGGTATCTGTTGATGGTTTCAGTGAAAACATGTTTTTCAGATTCTCCCTGCTTGGACTGGTTTAAAGCACCCCAACTGTTTGTTGCAAGAATAGCTGGCAGAAATATATTTGCTAACATATTCCTAATCCCATTTAAAAGTCCTTTTGATGCATCCAGAACAGTAAATAGCACTTCCTGAAAGGGTGGTGTTTAAATGTTATTTTATATGCTAATCTCAATAAACTGAAAATCATAAACTATTTTACATTGCAAAAAACATAGACAACTAATACATTTTATAAACTATTAGGAAAACTTAAGTGATTATGAATATTAGAGTTCTAAAATCAGTAGTCATATTCTGCCCCCATTTAACCATTCACATGCTCATCAAATTCTTTGCTCATCAAAGAGATGCCTTCCTCAGTGCTTTAATTTCTGCATAGGGAAGGAGCTATGGCCTGGAGCCTACACAAGGTGAGGAAAATGGAACTGAGACTTCTGCGTAAAAAAGTTCTCAGTTGAAAGTTGCCCTGTCCATGAAATAAGAACCAGAAAAACTCTATCAGTCCAGGAAAAGAACAAAACTAGACCTAACCCAGAATTTTGGTAGAAAAAATTACCAGCCACAAGAAATCAAAAGTCCAGAAATCAAAGGGTTCACCATCCATGAGTGTGATATCTCAGTTAACACAATATAAGTGAAATGGAAATCCCAAGCCAAGAAATTAAGATAAGAAATTGGTCCAGGGCCACTAAAAATTGGTTGTTTACAACAGAAGATTGCTTGAATAGAGGTTGTTTAGCTTCAGTTAGGATTCTAGGTTGGCAGTTATTTTCCTCTGCCTCCATGTAGATATTTCAGCCACAAGAGATACAGTGAAATAGTGTAAACAGAGAAGGAGCAAAATTAGATTGGATTTCTGATAACTTTCCCATTGTAAAATGTATTAAGACTCTCTAAGAAAAATAGAGAGAACTAATACTTGTTGAGAGCCTACTGGTATGTCAGACAATACAATAAGAATTTATTTATATTATTGTTGTCTCACAACAATCCTGCAAGGTGGGAATTTTTATTCCCAATTTAAGAATGTAGAGACTTACGTCTCAGAACAGATGAGCAACCTGCCAAAAGGCACACTTTCGCTAGTCAGTGGTGAAGCTAGGAGGAAATTCGGGTCTGTTTGACTAAAATTCTTGCTTTTCTCATTCCACCATCACAGAACTAGGTTAGCAATGTTGAGGCTCTAGGTCAATTCTCTCTTCTTCTAAAACTATTAAAGAGTTAAAATTTTGAGTGAAGAGGAGCTTAAATAAAGTAACTAATACTTAAAATTGTCTGAACAAAATTAAGGGCCGGCCCGGTGGCGCACTGGATAGTGCGCCGCTTGGGAAGCGCGGCGGCGCTCCCGCCCAAGGGTTCAGATCCCACATACGGACCGGTTCCCGCTCACTGGCTGAGCGAGGCGCGGGAGCAACGCCGAGGGTTGCAATCCCGTTGCCGGTCCCTGGTCCGGTCCCTGGTCCGGTCCCTGGTCCGGTACGGGGGCAACACTGAGGGTTGCGATCCGTTGTCGGACACGGAAAAAGACAAAAGACAAAAAAAAAAAAAAATTAAATGTGTTCCTAGTGAATGGAAGATGGAAATTATTTGCTCATCATCTATAGGAAATGGAATTTTCATGAATTTTAAAAGCAGTATTTAAAGGATAAATCTAAGCACTATTATAGCTAATCTCTGTTTCTTTAGATATATGAATACATTATTTTCTTAGAACTCAATTCAGTCTTATTTATAGAAGAAAAGGACAACAAAGTAAAGCAATAGTGTGACTATGAAAAGACATTCGATGTTTATAAATTTGGAGAAATTTTTTAACTTACCTCTTGAATACTTTTAGCATTTAAAGCAACATCGTTACGACAGCGAACAAAAAATATGCACAGTCCTTTTAGTTTCTGTGGATATGCGTTGTCTACATACAGTCTCATCATTTTTGCCCCTTTGGTTGTTCCAGGAATAATTCGACCACATTCTGAAAACAAAAGTCAAGAAGTTAGCATATGATCCCATAACTGATCAAATGCGATAAATTACTGTGGCTCTTACACTATTGTTTCGTGTTTTACTTTATTGTAAGAAGTTTTCTACATGATAAAAACTTCTACAAGGAGTTTTTTATATGGAATAAATTCTTAAGTTGCAGCCTCCTCTGTTACCTTTCCTTGCGCTCTGCACTTTTGCCCCTTTTGGCCTGGCCTCAGAGCCTTCGTGGCATCCCAACCCCAACCTTTTGACTTCATCTTTCAGATCTCAGGGGAAATGCCACCATCTCAGGAAGCCTTCACTGACAACCCTGAGAAGGTCTAGTTCCCGTTCTAAATACACTCATAGCACCAAACTTCTATTAAATCTTTCCTTGAACTAATTTCAGTGAAAAATTAAACATCTAAAGACTTTCTTAAAACTATTAAAATGTAAGAATCTGTTAGATGGCTGGTTGCAATATTAATATGCAAAAATGAACAGCTTCTTACTTACAAGAATAAACAACTTTATGTGTGATAAAAGAAATTTTAAAATCCCATCACAAAACCACAAAAGTGTTTTGTCTGTCCAGCCTTCCTTCCTTTGCATTTGGAGGATTCTTTCTGTCCTGTGATTCTGAAGAACACCAGTCCCAGTGCCCTACAGGGGTGGGCATGCAAAAACTAAACTAATTAGACTCTCTGCAAGAACGTAAACCATGAATGGAGACACACAAATTAAAAAGGAGATTTGGGAGATGTTAGCCTAGAGATGAATCCTAAAGAAACTACCCTGGAATCCATGGAAATGCTCTAATCCTGTCCTTCCCAAAGTCTGACTATTCAACTAGTTCTAAATTTTGTGAACTACCATCCCCCCATTTTTTTTTCTTACTAAGCCAGAGTCTATTTCTGTTCCTTGCAGCCAAAGAACCCTGATGCATGGTATGTAGGAGCATAAAAGCTCAAATGTCCATTTATGGAGGTTGCAAAGGGAGTTACCTACTCTTAGTATTCTCTTTTTCCTTGCTAAGAGAAACTGATTTTGTCCCATTCAGCAATGTGTACATCCCCAGGGAGAAAACTGCTTTCCCAGCCCCCCTAGTCCCTGTGGTGGCCATGTGACACAGTTCTGGCTGATAAGACAGATAAGACAAGCTTGAGCTTTCCAGATAAAGGGAAGAGATGAGACCATCAATAGAGAAAAGGTTTCTAAAAATCACGAGGCAACTGTACAATGGAATACTATACAGAATTCTTTAAATGAGATAAATCTATATGTAATGACATAGAAAAATGTCTAGGCTATACTGTTAGGTACAAAAAGCAGGTCAAGGATAAAATGCATTATATATTCACATTTTAGAAATGATAATAAGCATTTATATGTTAGCACATGCATATGAGAAAGACATATAGAGGAACATTTGCAAAACTGAAAAATGTATAACTTTTGTAGGTAGTAAAAATAATGGTTACAAATATGTCCACCCTTTTTTCTGGAAATTCCCCTTCTGAGAATTCTTCCTAAAATGTATTCCTAATCCACATAGATTTAGCTTCAATGATATTTATGAGGCATTGTTTCAAGGAGCAAAAAGTTGTAAACAACCTAAATTCTAGTAGGAGATCAGTTTTGAAAATTATAGTTATATCAACCTAATGAAATACAATGAAACTGTTAAAAATTTAATTGTAGGAATGTAATTATTACCATGGAGAAGACAATATTATCAAATTTAAGAAGACACTATAGAATAATATGTAGAGTTGGATCCCATTTTTGTAAAATATGTATATATACCAAAGCAGTTATAGAAAGATATTCATCAAGGAGTTAACAGTGCTTTCTCCAGCTGAGTGGGACTGTGGATGGCTTTTTTTTTTTTTTCTAATTGTACATATTTTCTCATCCTTCTATAATTTTCAGCTATTGTTTTAATTTTTAACAAGTTATAAATGTATGTACCACACAATAATCCTCCTAAGATAAGAACTGCAAGAGAGAGAAAATCCACAGAACAGACCTAGTCACTAATTGAGAGTTCACATATTTTGGCTGAAGAAGCCAGACATATATATCAAACAATTAGAGGAAAGTAAAAGAACATAATCGAGTGCTGTATTTACGATGAAAACTAAATGAAACAGGAGTCTGGAAAATAGTGATAGAAGCAGGCTGGAATGCTCTGGGAAGGCTCTGTAGAAAGAGAATGCATGTGTGATCTGAAGGAGGAGTAGGGTTTGCTGGGTGGAGAGAAGAAAGGCAATCTGAGAGAGTCAGGAGAGTGGAGAGAAGGGCACAGAAATGACTCCTGTATGCACAGAAAACAATGAAGTGAGTGGCTTAAAGGGAGCAGCAAACTCACATCTGGAAGGATAGATGAGACTAGACAAGTACTGTGTGTCCAGATTACACACAGTGGGCCTTGGATAAATGAGGGATTTGGACCCAATCTGATAAATAGCACGACAAGAAAAGATTTACTTGGCGGGAATAAGTAGTGTGAATTTCAGAGAAGAATCTGATAACAGAGATATTGGTTTTCAATCTGCAGTACTAGGGCAGGCACGAAAAATGGGCCTAGCCTAAAGCAGCAGAGGAGGAAAGTGAGAAAGAACCCACAGGAGGGACATAAAGAAAGTAAATCTGCAGGATTTAGAAGATAAGTAGACAAAAAGCCAAAAGGATTGCCCGTGTACCTAGTTACTAAGACAAAGGTTTAACAACCTGGTTGTGTTAATTTTTTTAGGCAAAATGTGATCAGTAGGGAAAGCTACATATTCCAACTGACAGCTGCAGCAGGCACGAGATACTGAGCCAGTACCACAGGCGGCAGCTGCTGGACTCTGGAGTGGCTTCATGACTGTTTCTAGTCATCTGAAAACACGTAGACAAAAGGCTTCAACTCTTTCAGGAAAAATGCAATTAAATTCTAATGAAAATGTACGTTCCCCAGTAGCGGTCAATGCTTTCTTTAAGAAAGTTTTCTCCTTAAATCATTATGGTAATGATGAAATATATATTTGGGCTGAAAACGTACTGTTCTTAAGACACTATTTTTTACATGCAAGCTTCTGGTAAATTCTTCTTTATAAATAGAGAATTGTCTATGTGCAAGGGAAAATAATATGCTGCACTTTTACATTCATTAACTAATTACTAGCACCTTGCCCCCATAAAACATCCTTACCAAGACTGGGTACATCTCCTTCCTGGTACAAAAATTTCAAAGTCTTACAACCATCTTTCATAAAAAAATGAGTAAATGCTTCCAACTGTTAAACAAAAGAGAAAATGATGATCAATAAAATGACTAGGGAACTACAACAAAATGAACCAAGCCCTGTACGAGGCATTTCACATACTTTAATTAATCCTCATCATTTTGCAGATGAAGAAAATTCAGGCTCAAAGAGTTAATTCAAGACACACAGAGGCAGGTACATTAGAGGCAAGATTAGAACCCAAACTAACTTAACTCCAAAACTACCATGGAATATAGGTAAATTCTATTTCTTAACCTACATTAATGATCTACAGCTTTGGGTAGCCACTTACCTGACCCTGCCTCACAGAATCTTATTAAGGGTAAGTAGGTGAGTTCAACTGGAGGTAAATAAAGGAATTATTATTAAGAGAAACTTTTTTTTTTTTTTTTGACAGCTGGCTGGCACAGGAATCAAACCCTGGACTTTGGTGTTATCAGTACTGTGCTCTAACCAACTGAGTAACTGGCCAGCCCAAGAGAAACTATTCTTAAAAGTTGACCTGGGAAACAGAAAAATTGTCTTATTAACTAACCATTTTGTTTGACCAATTATTTAAGCAATTATGTTTTCAGCAATTGTAATTTGACCCATATATAGACAAACTAATATAAAAACAAATTATTTTAATGATATTCTTCCATATTTATGAGCACGAAGTTATTATTCAATTATTTAGGAGTCAGTGTAATATCTCAGTAAGTAGAAAACTAAATAGCTCACATAAGCAAAAGCCTTCCAACATCGTATAGGAAATGCAAAGTTCCTATACCCCCTTCACCTAGTCCCAATGATTCCATACAGAAATCTTTCTCTTGGTTAGTGAGTTTGTCTTTCCTTACTGATCACTTGGGGGAAGAATCCCAAGTGTAGCAAAGCCACTCCCCCTAGGGCAATAGTTCTTAAACTTCAGTATGCATCAGAGAATCACACAGAGGGCTTTTTTAACATATAAAATGTTGAGCCCAAGAATTTACATTTCTAACAAGTTCCAGGTGATGCCGATGCTGCTGGTCCTGGGACCACATTTAAGAACCACCACCCTAGGAAATAAAACAGAATCACATAGATGCACTTAGCTCTAGCTCTAGCCCTTAATTTTCTACTCTTCCATCTCCAATGTAAAATTGATTCTCACATAATTACAACCTAAAAGATACAAAAGCTGTCAGCACAGCTCTTCTTGCCCAGTTCTATCAATACTTCCTTCCTGATCCTTAGCTTTGAAAGCATGCAAATTCTCAAAAGCAGTACACATGACTACGACAAAAAGATATCAAAATACCAAATGCAATGAATCCTTGCTTTTTAGATACATCGTACTTCTGATACTAGCAAAGCAAATGTTGTTGTGGGCCAAAATCATGAGTGTGAATTAAAAATTCACTTATATTACATAAAATTTTACAAGTAGTTTATCTGAGCTTCACCCTAACATTGCACTAGGTAAAGCTGGCATTATTATGGCCACTTTGTGGAAGCAAAAACTAAGGCTAAAAGGAAATTAAGTGAAGGACCCAAAGACACACAACCACAGTATGGAGCCTGAAATTGGTCCCCAGCCTCGGGTGTCCAGATCTGTGCTCCTTCCGCAGAACCGTATGTGGCATAATCCTGCCTGACAATGCCAATTTGTCTGGCTACTGCTAATGTCTGGAATCCTCACAGCACCAATTGTCTAGCTACTCAACCACGACTATGCCAGTTGCGGTGCTCTTTTACCTGCTGGTAATCCTGCACCGACTGGGCCAATTGTCGAGCTAAGGCTGGGTCTGGAGCTCCCATACTCCTTAAGCCCATTCACAGACTGGGTCACAAACCCTTCACATGCCAGGCTGGGCCCGCAGACCCCTTCACGCAGGTCTATGAGCTAGCTAACCAGCCAAAAAGGTCCTTGGACACAAGAAGAGCAACAAAACTAAAAAGATACATTGGCGCACATGCACACTAACTCCATACACACAATTTGCTTACAAAGGATGCTGAACCACACCCAACTGGACCCAAGGCGAGGGCCCTGACCAAACTATCCTACTTTCCCAACACCATAACACTGCTACCTTAACTTTGGGAAACATTGCCAAGTAAGCCAGGAAAGAGATTATCTTCAGCAGTACTGAATAAAGGGACCAGTGAAACAGGGTGGGGCAAAGCATGAATGCCAATCCGTAGAAACCTCTATCTTGGTCAGGGTACTGGCAAGAAAAAGAGTCACACACAAAGGGGATTTTGAAGAAACTTTATAATAAAGAGGCTACTTCTAAGAACAGAACTAAGAGAAGCTGTGGCACTAAGCAGCAACAACAGCACTAGCAACAAAGGAAAGCCATTACCACCCCAAGGCCTGAAAGGGTGAGGAATGGGGAGAATGTTATAACTGGAACCAGGATGAGAACAGGAGCAGTTCTGGGGAGGGACTGCTTGAGAGGAACTGTAGTTATGGGAGAACACAACTATGGCCAGAAACATAGCCAAGTGTGGAGCAATCAGACTTCCCTTCTTTTCTGCCCTCTAATCTCCTGCTGGTGCCTCCCAGTGGCTGAACCAAGTGGAAGCCAGAGAACAAGGGAGTCCATGTGATAGATTCCATAGCGTTCAGCCTTGTAGACCACAGAGTAGGGCAAAGACAAGGGGAGAATGGATCTGGAAGCAAGCAAAACAACCATCATGCCCTCTGCCGTCTGCATTTTTGTGGTGTCCTTACTGAGCTACTTTAACTCTGGATTGCATGCCAGGCTTCACATTAAAGAAGTACTTTTCCATATATGCAATTTCCTAAGCCACATCAAACCACGTCACTGCTTGTTCCTTGTTCTGTCTTCTTACTCACCTGGCCATCAACCTTGAAGCCAAATTAACAAATGTTCTTGCCTAGTCCCTTCAACCAGATAAGCAATCTAAACTCTCTCAGGTTTTGACACTGGTTTCCCTTCTGGCTGCACTATCTTCCTTCCCCTGCACATTCACAAACAACTCTTCTTTTTTTTTTTTTTTTATTTCTGGCAGCCAGGACTAAGCAGGCCAATCGAGGAGCGCAGCCCCGAGTTGAACTCTCTCGCAGCTTTTATTTTTAGCTAGGCAGGAATTTTTCACGCCTGACACAATCTAGCCAATGCAAGCAAGCCAGCGGTACATAAGCTAATTTTGCGGTTAGCCCTGTAGCCCCTCCCCACCCTGGATTCCCCATAGGGACTTTCCAGCCTAAAATGGCACAACAGCCTAAAATGGCGTTGGTTATGCTAATTTGTTTATTCCCCCATTTATTTTAGCAAGTGATTTGTACAGAAGCAGAATGCATATGTTAAAGTCAGTAGGGGTTAGGGCATCCCTTAACATTCCCCCCTGTTGTTGTAGCTATAGCAAATCATTGCAACCTTAGGGGTTGAATTTTATTTTATTTTTATTTTTTATTTTTTTTTAGTATCAACACTGGTTTTTATTAACATTGGCATGTGGGATCCAGGTGTCTAACACAATATTAAACACTTGTTTAAAAAAGAAAGGGAGGGAACAATATTAAACACTTGTTTTAAAAAGAAAGGGAGGGAGGGAGGGGAGAAGGAAATAGACAAGAAGGAAAGAAAGAAGGGAGGGAAGGAGGGAAGGTGGATTAAATAGCATATGTTTTCAAAAGCTGCACAAAAAAAAAGAAGATAAAAGATGGCACAAGCAATCCATCTTCATGTAAGGAAAATATAGAGCCATTAAGACTTTTAAAAGATAAGAATATAGATAGAAATAGGTGCTATATTTCAAATGTTGAGATGTTAAAAATTCATCTAGTCCAGCCCTGTAGTATCAGGCTGGACTAAATTAACTTACACAAGGGTTAGACTCACTCCTGATAAACGGCTGCTGAATGCATAGTGTAATCAATCAATCTTTCTTTTTAAATCCAATCTGTCACTTCCATTCTCAAAACCCTCCAGTGGCTTCTCACGCCAGGAATAAAATCCAAAGCCCTTCCTTCCCTAGGCTCCCCCTAGGAGCTTCTAGGAACCTGCATGACGTGGCTGGGGTTTCCTTTTTACTTCATGCCCTGCCTCGCAGTTCTGGCCTTCTGACTGTTCCTTCAACATGCCAGCTCACTCCTACCTCCCTGCTTTGTACTCACGGACGACCCCACCTTTACCAGCTCCCCTCACCCCTGCTTCACCCCCAACTCTCTCCCTGACTGAATTCAGGTCTCTGCTCAATATCACCTCCTCCAAGAAGTCTTCCCTGACCACTCTTAAAAGAGCCTTCCAATCACCAACCATTCACTCTTTCTCCTATCTTTATCTTTCTTCTTTGCACTTATTATCATCTGAAATTACATTATGTATTCATTTTCATGACTTTTTAGTATCTATTTACCGCACTGAAATGTGAGCTCCATGAAAAGGGACTTTCTCTTCTTCACCAGGGTATCCCCCAACTCCCTAAAGCGGGGCCTGGCATTAGTCAATACTCAATATTTGTGAAATAAAACATCCTCACTTGGAGAGATACTAAGTAAGCCCTTAATCAAACCTGTTCCAACACTATCACTTTCAACAAGTCCTTCCTCAGGTCTTTACCTGAATCCCAGAGTGATGACCAGTGGTTGACCAACAATCTCCGATAAGTAATTCTTTGAGATTACAGACTTGACGGTGAAATGGGGCCTTAGTTATGACTTATTACAGCCCTTTCATCCTAAGCTGAGCACACAGGTGCAGAGAGGTTAGCTGTTTCTCCAAGCTCACCCAGAAGCAAGTGACCCCAGGTCACTTAAAGGGTCCACAGTACCTTCTTCATCTCTGTAACCCCAGGACCCAGCAGGGTGCCCGGCACAGGGAAGGAGCTAAGCAGAAGTGCACCCAGGGGACGAATGCCCTCAACCCTGCTCCAAGTGCTCACTCAACTGAACTGCCCTTCCTCTTGTGACTTCCTGCCTGAGAGCCATTTCTAGTCACTGAATCATGTGTCATTACTTCCTGTCCTCTCTTCTTTTAAAGAGCAGTTTGACAACATACCAGACACGATGGGTGCTGGTTTGCTCCTAATTTATTTTTTCTTTTTATTATTTTTTTAGTTTCATTTTGTCGATATACAATGTGGTTGATTATTGTGGCCCATTACTGAAACCTCCCTCCTTCCTCCCTCTCCCCTCTCCCACCCAACAATGTCCTTTCTTTTTTTTTTTTTTTTTTTTTTTTTTTTTTTTTTTT